AAGTCAGGATTGTGAGATGTAAAGTCAGAATTGTGAGATGTAAAGTCAGAATTGTGAGATGTAAAGTCAGAGATGTAAAGTGCAAAGTCAGAATTGTGAGATGTAAAGTCAGAATTGTGAGATGTAAAGTCAGAATTGTGAGATGTAAAGTCAGAATTGTGAGATGTAAAGTCAGAATTGCGTGACAAAAAGTGAGAATTGCAAGACGTAAAGTCTATTTTATAAAGTCAGAATTGCGAGATGTAAAGTCAGAATTGCCAGATGTAAGATGTAAAGTCTAAATTATAATATAAAGTCAGAATTGTGAGACGTGAAGTCAGAACTGCAAGACGTTAAGTCTAAATTGTGATATATAAAGTCAGAATTGTGAAATGCAAAGTCTAATTTGCGAGATATAATGTCAGCATTGCGAGATGTAAAGTCAGAATTGCGAGATGAATTTGTGAGATTAAAAGTTGCAGTTACTGTACCTTTTTTTTTTTATCCCATGGCAGAAACAAGCTTCCATACTTTAAAGACTTTTTTCAGAACCAAATCTTACAACCCTAAACTTTGAATGGTAGCGGTATTGTACAGTATAGATATGTACATATTAATAGGCATACTTGTAATCCCACAATTTGAATAATATGGCTATGTTTTTACTCATCTGTTTATCTGTGTCTCCGTCAGATGTTGACGAGTGCGCGGAAGGAAACGGCGGATGCCAGCAGGTCTGTGTTAACATGATGGGGAGTTACGAGTGTCGGTGCCGTGACGGATTTCTCCTGTCCGACAACCAGCACACCTGCATCCAGAGACCCAAAGGTGAGAGCCTGATCACAACACACCCACTAACATGCTACTCTTACTGTCTCTGCAGGATATATAGTATGAAAACTGGGCATGCTGGGCACAGTATGTGGATTTTGAACGGCATAATAGATTTGTTTACGGTGCAGTATAATTCAGAGTACACTGCCGGATATCTCATAATGCAATGCGCTCAATTTGATGAATGATCTGGAAAGTGTTTAAAGGGGTCCTATTATGCTCTTTTACAAAGTCTTGATTTTGTTTTGGGGGTGTACTAGAACAGGCATATATTTTTTATATATTTAGCCTTAAAATTAAAAATAAAAGTTATTAGTATTTAATTAGTATTTTTTTTCTTCAATTCTTAAAAATCATTAAAAAAACCTCATAATAACTATTAAATTAGCATAATTAAATAACCACTCATATGCAGTGTCATGTGACAACCAATGATATTTTAGTATTATTTTTTATGTTATTATAGTGTGTTTTCATATTTTGAGTTGGCTTTTTATTGAAGTTTTTATTTTAATTTTAGTAAATTTTTTAGTAAATTTATTTGTTTTTGTTATTTTTAATATACATATTTGTATATTAATATTTAGCTTTTATTTTTTATTTCACTTTTCGTGTTTTAGTTTTTATTTCAGTTAGTGGTCAAGGCAACATTTCTCATTTTCGTTTGAAGTTTTATTTTTTTCTTACTTTTTTAAAGCTTTTTAGGTAACATTAACAACATTGCTGATGAAAATGTGAAATGCTATTGTTTCACTTGCTATTTTTGAAAGAATAGTAGTCTTTATACTGTATTTGCTGCATAGTATTCAGTTAGTAATAGGAACGTATTTCATTCTGAACGCAGCCGTTATTTCTCTGCCGTTTACGTCGTGATTTAACAATGTCAGCGGAAAAGTGGCGTTCTCTTCAAAGCCCAATCTCAGGAGATGCTTTTGGCCGGCTGAACTCGTCAGTGTTTGCGTTTCATAAGCACACTGTTATTTGAGTTGTGGATTGTATGATTCAAACGCTGCCCCTCTGATTCAAGGCCTTCATTGTTTCTATTCTGTTGGAAAGAGTTTGATAAATACAGTCGTAATCCCTCATATTTCATGTTAATATTAGTTTTATTGCTGCCAGATGAAAACCTCTTGGACAGAGAGGTTTAGGCAGCGTAAATCCACAAACGCTTCGATGTGGAAACGCTGTACACTTCTGTTGAGATCGGCTGCGGATCTGTTTGCCATTACGCTATTGTTGCAGCACAATGTGCTTCAGATATCTGCGGTTTAGGAAGAGACGATGTTGTACAAGCCGACAGTGAGAGTGACGTAACTCATCGTTGACGGATAGCATGTGTAAACGACATGAGATGAGAGGAATCGGGTTTCTGTACACCTCTGATTTATTTCGCATTAAAGCAGGGTTTTAGTTCGTCTGCCTTGGGAAAACTAGCGTGTCTCCGACATGGTGATAACACTCGTTGCCTTCTCTAGTGCAGCTCAACCAGATCTCGTCCCATTCGTCGATATTTGTGATATCACAAATCCCGGAAAATATGTGTTGTAGTCCAAACGAGTCGTTCGTTGTAGTTTTTGAAAAGTGATTTCTGTTAAATAAAATATCTCCTTTTGAAATCGACTTTGAGCTTTGTAACTTTGCAGATCTTTTTTATGCTCAAACAGCAACATTACAGACTAACTAAAGTTGAAAAAGTGCAAAAGCATAATAGGACCCCTTTAAACAAGCGCTGCGGTCTCTCAGATGGACGTGAAGCAGGTTGTGTTGATTTGAATTCTCATCAGTTTTTGATTTGTCGGAAAAAGCTGTGACATTCTTCTCATTTAGGGTTGTGAATTTGATTACTTGATGTAGAGTATTTTGTTATGTCACTTTCTAGTCTCTGAGGGCATTTGCATTTACATTTATGACATTTATGCCTTTGCTAAAATGTAACTTCTACCCGAGGCATTTTCTGTGTTGATAGCATTTTGTGCATGTACTTTCACTGGGAAGCAAACCCATAATAATTACTAGGGTTTTAATTGTTTACCTGCGTGTCACGTGAACATTAACCAACATTAGAGAACTGCAACATGCAAATAAGTTTTTTAATTATTGAAATATTAATATTATTGAATATTAATATTGCACAAATGTTATATACTTGATATTATTGTTATTTTTTAATTAATATTAAAATATTTGTATGATATTAATAAACAACATTTAATTGTTACCTAAATATTGACTGTTTGTTTTTGATTTGTTACTTTTATTCCTAATATATAAATGTTTCTTTAATTCAAATATTTTTATTAAAAAAAATAATAATTACTGACCAGCATTAGAGAACTATTAAACTGCAAACCTGTTGTTAAATTATTATTATTATTATTATTATTATTATGGAATATTACCTTTTTAAATATTAATATTACTTAATGTTAACTTTTTAAATATTTGTAAAATATGAATATCAAGTAAAGCTATTAACTATTAAATATTAACATTTAATAATAATAATAATAATAATAATAATATTTAAACACTAAATAATTCCTACATAATTTTTCTGTAATTCAAAAATGTTTGCAATTCAAAATGTCTACTGTTTGAAAGAACAGAAAGCACACTTCTTTTATTTAAAATGTTATATTTTTATGTTAAAATAAGTATGTGAGTCGGTGAGTGAGTAAGTTTTTTTCATTGTGTGTGTGTGTGTGTGTGTTTAGGTTGAATTAAAGTCTAGTTAGGCTCAACATAACCCCTTCATCAAATCTATACCCAGAATGTGAGCTGAATATAAGGGTAGTGTGTAGAGTGATTACTAGCGCTGCAGCGTTTCACACAGTCGCCATTATACCCATTTCACTTGCCCTTTTCCTAACAACCCAACCAAAGCTATTTATTTGCCTTTTTCCATGTTCCCAGCATGGTTCAATAGCACTTATTGCAGGATTTTCACACAGTCATAGTCTGTCAGCTCTGATGGGTTTAGTTAGTAATGCATCACAGTCGCGGTTACGAGTCTAACTGTGCTTCCCGTTTTCCCCACTTTCTCACACCTGCACAGTACACATAGCTTTTAAAGTTCATGAATGTCAGCCCATGTGTTTTGTGTTGCAGTGCTCTGGCAAATGTTTACTTAGTAATAAAAGACTGCTTCCTTCGTCTTAAAGTGTCGTTTGTTTGAGACTCGGGTGACGCAGAGGCTCTCGCTGGACGGATGACTTACATGAGTATGAGCACACACACACACACACACACACACACACACACACGGCTCTGGGCTGTGCTGTTTAGTGGATGTGTTTCCATCATAGCAGGAATGTGAAGAAATTCAGAGACATTTTGTGCTCAATTTATGCTTTTTGGAGATTTCATGTTGACGTTAAGTCACATTTTTACACACTGATTAAAATGTCTGTGCATTTGCAATATGAAACAGCGTTTGTGGCATATTTAACTTCTGTAATGTGATGTTTTTTGAGTAAAAAACAATATTCATTGGTGTTTTGAATGGAGAGGAGAGGGTGAGGGCTCTAAAATAGTGGTGATGTAATCTGGCATAATTTGTCCTGAATCGTTTGAACTACACTAAAGATCCTTCAAACCATGTGTCTTGTTGAGAGATGTACTTTCATCTTTATAAGTAATAAGATTTATGATTTTCACCTAATGGACATTTAACCCAACGGACTTGCATTGAAGAAGAGACCTGGGCCATAAAATAATTACATTTTGCCAAATGTTTCTTGCACAAAAATGTCTGGTCTTATTGTGCACAATTTCTGGCATGAAACGACAAGGGACAATTAATGCAAAAGCAAATAATAATTTTTATTTTGTGTTGAAATCTGATTAAGGTGATTCAAGCAATTGTGTTTTTTGTAATAATAATAATAATTATTATTATTATTATTATTATTACTGCTATTGTTATTATTATTATTAGTAGTAGTAGTATTGATATTACTTACAATTTATAAAGTAAATTAATATATATTTTCAATTTACAAATTAACATAATATTTTATTTAACACATTTTTAGTATAATAGTATAATATAATTAATGTATATAATATTAATTAGTTAATCATATATTTATATAATATTAATATTTTACATCTTTTCACATCTTTTCAGCTTTAATAATAATAATATTTTTATTATTTTTATTCATATTTAATTATTATTATTATTATTATTATTATAGCATCAAATACATTTTAATTATGACATTGATTTCCAACAATAATGAACATAAGATAAGTGAGATAAAATGCATATAGTGTTGCTTTCTTTTTCATAGATTAGTAGTTTTCAGTAAGTAGTGAAAGTGCACTACAATTACTTATACTTTTAATAATTATAGTAACAAAATTATTAATAATACTTTTAGTAATTATTTTATTACTTATACTACTTATTTATTTATAATGCTCTTATTTGTTTATTTTATTTTGATATAATTTGTTATGCATGTATTTATTTTGTTTTGTTTTATTTGTTATTTATTTTATATATACAATTTTAGTTGTTATATTATTTATTCATAATTTTTTGTTTTATTTGTCTATCGTTTTTAAACAATAAGTCAGTTTTTTTCCAAAGTCAGTGAGTAAATAAATGCGATCTCACTATAAACCAAAATAACCATGATTTTTGGCATAATCAAGCATGTCTGATATGCACGTGCAATGTTTATACGTGTAGCCAATTTGACAGAAACCCCGGAGAGCGCTTGTGAGGAAAACATGTCTAATCTGGTCGCAAGTATCCCAGCGACGCGGCCTGCAGTTCACATCATTACAAAACCACGCGAGGATTGTTTCTGGAACGCATTCTGTACATTAATAAATGCATAATTGCTCGGCATCAAAGGTGCTCGTCACATGCAATTACAGCATTTCCAGGATTCCGTGGGCTGTACAGAAGAGCAGATGCTTTTGATTCAATGCAATTCTATAACGGAGCCTAATCAAACAGAAATGCAAATGAAATATCTGTT